TCTCCATAGGATGGTAAAAGGGTCGTGATAGGGGCTTCTTGTAGTTATTGATGAACACGGAGTTCCATGAGTCTGGCCTGGGGCAGAGTGCATGGGCATGTCATTTTATCGCCTGTTCGAAGTCATTTGGCGTCAGGATAACATCAGTTTGGCTTGTGTTTTAAACCCAAAATTTTGTTGTCTCTCTCATAAAAAATTAATTTTTATCTTCGACTTCAGTCGGGTTAGCGGCTTGCTAAAAACTGAGTCATATTGGGGCTTGAGTAGCTCACTCATTTCCTTGCTGTCATCTGTGTAGGACCATCTTGTTTAAGTATGGGGCCCAATACTGGACGTTGTTCTCGACTTTGATTTGGCATAGGAGAAGAAATACTTGGCTTTCTTTCGATTTCATTTATGGCTTTTAGTTCTTCCCGCGATTCCCGACTCCTATAAGATCCCTTTTGCTTAAGTTCGATGCTTGCTATTTTTTTGACCCGTGTCTCCCTACCATTTCAGATATATTGACCTCTTTCAGCCGCTCTTTTTATTCTTTTCCGTCGCCTGTAAAGGGAGCGCCTTCTTTTTCTTTTTTACATCTACTCCTCCTTTTCTTAGAGGAAAACGCCTTGTGCATACATCGAGTCCCACCGAGTTAATCTTTTCTAGGCATAAGTTGGAGTCTGTTTTTGCTTAGTATATTTCCCCCAGCTTATATCGGTTAGGACTTGGTTTACTTGGTCCCACTTTATGTTTTTGTTATTGAAGTTGAATTTTGCTGAATTCTCCCTCGTGACTAATCTCATTAGTGGGTCTGGGGCTCCGCGCATACATGTCTGAACCTCAATTATTTTTGTGATCTGAGTATATTTTTTTTGATATGGTGACATTTCGTATCAGATCATCATTGTTAGTGAAGATGAGATCTAGTGTATTATCCAGTCTAGTAGGCTCTATTTTTTTGCTGGGTTTAAATTAAATTTTGTGCAGAGTTTTAAAACTCGCGTTAGTGTGAGTTTTCATCAGAGCTGCCTCCTGGTGTTATTACTCAACAATATTATTTGCTATATTCCTCCATTTTAGGTGCCTTAAGTTGAAATCCCCAGGAGCAAGATGTTGGGTGCAGAGCTGGAAGATTTTCCAGACAGTGGTCAATTTTAACAGTTGTTCTTGGAATTTCTGGGATGTTTTCATCCGGAGGCTTGTAGACTACCACAATGACTAGGTTTTGGTGCTCGATCTTTACTGCTAAAACTTCCACTACATCATTGAGGCATTAAGCAGTTCTGTGCAAACAAGTGACTCTGCAATGTACAGGCCAACCCCCCCCCTTTTGCCCTGTTCACTCTGTCGCATCTGTATAGGTTGTAACCTGGGATCCATATTTTCGTTGTGCAAGTGATCCTTTATGTGGGTCTCAGTGAAAGCCGCGAACATTGCCTTTGCCTCTGCAAGCAGTCCACGGATGAAAGGTATTTTGTTTGTTGCTTGCTTTAGACCCTGTATATTTGCAAAGAAGAATGTCATCGGACTGGTGGTATTGTTGGTACTGGGGGGGGATTTTTTTTTCCGGCATTAGTATCTGTATCTGTTGGTTTGGAGTTGAGGCCATTGACTGTGGTTCCACTCCAGGAATGACTGGATTTGGTGTACGATTTCTGCCATTTCCTGCCAGTTTTTTTTTCTTTCCTGGCACTAAAAAATCTCTCCCTCCTGAATGGCTGTGGCTACCCAGGTTTTCCCATGGCCTGGATGTTTTGTATCTTTTTGTCCCCTTTAGATGGTGTGCCTGGCAATTTAAGTTATAACACAATCTTTCCTGTACTGAAGAGGTACACATTTCAGGGTGAAAAAGCTTACAGGAAGGGAGTTTGCATTTTCCTGTTGTCATATGGGCACGGCATTTTCTAGGGTGGTCATAGTTGCACGTCCCATCTGTTTTTCCAGATTTCCCATGTCTGCAGATACCAAGTGCATAGTATGTGCACAGGCTTGGTTTCCGTTTGCCTTGGGTTTCTGTGACTGTATTCCCTGTTGTGCATGTTTACACTGTCTTATTCCTATCCTCCCTAGCACCAACAATGGAGCTCCCACCAGTTGTTTTTGGTAATATATTCTCACTATTGCTAGTGGAGTCCTCTTGTTTGCTATTTCCTGTGGTATTTCTAGTTTGCAATATTAGTTTTATCTTATCTTTGACTACACTTGTTTCCCCACTATGGCTCCTGTCTCCATGAGGTCATTTAATATGCATTCCTTCCTGCGTATAATTCCCGACTACCTGGACAAAATCTCCAGCTTCACCATTACTGTCTCCCAGGACAGCACCTCCAGCTTCACCATTACTGTCTCCCAGGACAGCACCTCCAGCTTCACCAAATTACTGTCTCCCAGGACGCACCTCCAGCTTCACCATTACTGTCTACCAGGACAGCACCTCCAGCTTCACCATTACTGTCTCCCAGGACAGCACCTCCAGCTTCACAGTTACTGTCTCCCAGGACAGCACTATCAGCCCCACATTTACTGACTACCAGGACATCACCTCCAGCCTTACAGTTTCTGGCTACATGGCCAGTATCAAGGGCAGTACCATTCAGCCCAGACTTATGTTCCCATCTGTTGTAGAAAGCTTCCAGGTTGTCTATGAAAGCAGCTTTGATGTTATCCTCTTTTAATACCAATGTCATTTTAGTCCACAGATTTATCTCATTTGGGCATACCCAAAAACACTTCCCTGTATTAATACTGCTTGTAGCTAGTTCTTGGATATCTGCACAAGGGGCGTGACACCAATTTCCACAAAAATGACAGTTTATCCATGTGGAAGCCCGTTTGTTTGAATGATTGCAGACTACACAGGGCTTCATAATGATTTGAATGGTTGATTTACTCTAATTCTACTAGCAACCTCTTGAATACTCTATTAATAACCTCCTTAAAGTGAAGCTCTAGCTATTTGTATTTCTATTTCTAACTGTACTTGTATATTAGGACAGCTTACTGGAGTACGTTCCTGATTTATATTTATTGTTTGTTTGATAAGGGCGCCTACAACTCCATCCGTTTACAGTCTGCATTATTGTCCAATGAATCCGTTTGAAACAGGTCGAGGGTTCGGACCAGTCGAGGGTTCGACCAGTCAAGGGTTCGGACCAGTCGAGGGATCGACCAGTCAAGGGTTCGGACCAGTCGAGGGATCGACCAGTCAAGGGTTCGGAACCAGTCTGATCTGATCAGTGGGTCACTTATTTAAAACATACTGGGCTAACACATGAAGGATCTACTGGAAATTATCTACCCGAGTAATATGTGATTTGATTGATACAAAAGTATAACTTGCATGTTGAAGAACCGGTGATTGCTGGCAGCTCCTACAATGACGAACAGTCGAGCCTCAACCCTTGTTTATCGATCACTGTATCTAGCTTTTCTAGTTTTTTCCGTCTCCACCACAATAAATGCTATATTATCACTGTAGTTGACTGGTGGAAATTTTGGAGGAAAGACGCTTTTTCTGTAGTAATATTTGCTTCTCGTTGTGTATATTGCTACCGCTGGTAACTACAGGTTATATGAAATTCACAGTATACGTCTAGTATTTCAAGAAAAAAGAAACTAATGAAAGTCACTCCACTCCACTAAGTACCATTATAATACTGGTTAGTTGCTACTACAACACTGTATTCTGCTATTCACTGGTATCACTAGATTATATGCGAGTACACTAGCAGGCCAGGAATTTTATTAAAACAGCTGACCAGTGTGGTAAGTTTCTGGCGACTTCTGGCACCTGCCTCTATAGGCTTATCACTTCATTTACAAATTCACCTGTTTTCAAATGACACTTTAGCCTTTATCATCTATATACTAGGGAGCCACTGTAGTATACACTATACACTATGTATACACAATGTTATCAGGGAGACTTTCTTTCCTCTGACAAAGAAAAGTTCTATTATTATTATTTTGCACACGGCACACTAGGCCTATGATTCCCCTCTGGCAGTAAACTCTGCTAGGTAGTGCACACTAATTCTCCTTTTTTGACTCAGTATATAATGTTTTCCTCCCAAGATTGGTTCCAGGCGCTAGAGGGATGTATCGTATAGGATTGATGGCACAAATTAAAGTTCTAGCACGTAAGAGCGACCGTGAAAACACGAGAAAACACGGAGCACAACGAGGCACGCTGACACGCTACCCCTGAGCAATTCTTAGGCATAAGACACAAAATATGATCAACATATCTGAACCATTTAGCTCTATTAGGGAGGCTTGTGTTAAGCAGCCTTATTTCAAAAAATTCCATGTATAGGTTACTAAGAACAGGTGAAAGAGGATTTCCCATTGCCATACCAAACTTCTGATTGTAAAACTTATCATTAAATACAAATTTTGCATCAACACTGCAAAGTTTAATGATAGTAGGAACTGGCAATGGTAAATCATAATTAACGAGTTCTTCAGATAAGAAACTTAATAAATCATCAACAGGAACTTTTGTAAACAAGGAAGTAACATCAAAACTAGTATGGCCTAGACCCTTTATATGCCTTCCATTGATGCATTACTTTTATTGTTCCTTGATAATGTGTGTAGTCACGAAAGTGCTTGGAATTTCTCTGTTCTTTCACAGTGATTGTTATATATATATATATATATATATATATATGTGTGTGTGTGTGTGTGTGTGTGTGTGTGTGTGTGTGTGATATAATCGTTTCAGTAAAACGGTAATCAATGCACAGCGAATATAGTACACCGGTTGTCATAGCAATTATTATTAATATTATTATATTCGTGGGGAAACATTTTAAAGCAGTTAGGGGGTCGTAGTTCTTGGGAAGAGGAATGTATTCAGGTTTGACCCATACGGACGGAGGATCAAGCCTCCGCTATTCATTGTTATTGTATGTCGTATGTGCGTATGTATGTGTACTCCCCTATTTGTATTTGTGTGTTCATGAGCGATTGCACCATCAACCGTCCATCTATTTGTTAAACGCTAAGGTACGTACCTTTCCTTTCTGCTCGAAGCTCACACCTACTGCATTCTTATCCTCGTCAAACAATATCTGGAAAAATAAATTATATAATATGTGCATATATATATATATATATATATATATATATATATATATATATATATATATATATATATATATATATATATATATATATAATATATATATATATCACAGGTAGTAGGTTGGTAGACAGCAACCACCCAGGGAAGTACTACCGCCCTGCCAGATGACTGTGAAACAGAAACCTGTAACTGTTTTGCATGATGGTAGGATTGCTGGGTTTTTTTTCTGTCTCAAACACCCTAGATAACAGGGATATCTTGCTACTCCTACTTACACTTTGGTCACACTTCACAGACACGCACATGCATGCATATATATATAATATATATATATATATATACATATATATATACATATATATATATATATTTTATATATACATATATATATACATATATATATATATACATACATCTAGGTTTTCTCCCTTTTTCTAAATAGCTCTTGTTCTTCTTTATTTCTTCTATTGTCCATGGGGAAGTGGAAAAGAATCTTTCCTCCGTAAGCCATGCGTGTCGTATGAGGCGACTAAAATGCCGGGAGCGATGGGCTAGTAACCCCTTCTCCTGTAGACATTTACTAAAAAAAGAGAAGAAAAAACTTTATAAAACTGGGATGCTTAAATGTGCGTGGATGTAGTGCGGATGACAAGAAACAGATTGATTGCTGATGTTATGAATGAAAAGAAGTTGGATGTCCTGGACCTAAGCGAAACAAAGCTGAAGGGGGTAGGAGAGTTTCGGTGGGGGGAAATAAATGGGATAAAAACTGGAGTATCTGAGAGAGTTAGAGCTAAGGAAGGGGTAGCAGTAATGTTGAAGGATCAGTTATGGAAGGAGAAAAGAGAATATGAATGTGTAAATTCAAGAAATATGTGGATTAAAGTAAAGGTTGGATGCGAAAAGTGGGTCATAATAAGCGTGTATGCACCTGGAGAAGAGAGGAATGTAGAGGAGAGAGAGAGATTTTGGGAGATGTTAAGTGAATGTATAGGAACCTTTGAACCAAGTGAGTAATTGTGGTAGGGGACCTGAATGCTAAAGTAGGAGAAACTTTTAGAGAGGGTGTGGTAGGTAAGTTTGGGGTGCCAGGTGTAAATGATAATGGGAGCCCTTTGAACTTTGTATAGAAAGGGGTTTATTTATAGGTAATGCATATTTTAAGAAAAAGAGGATAAATAAGTATACACGATATGATGTAGGGCGAAATGACAGTAGTTTGTTGGATTATGTATTGGTAAATAAAAGACTTGAGTAGACTTCAGGATGTACATGATTATAGAGGGGCCACAGATATATCAGATCACTTTTTAGTTGTAGCTACACTGAGAGTAAAAGGTAGATGGGATACAAGGAGAATAGAAGCATCAGGGAAGAGAGAGGTGAAGGTTTATAAACTAAAAGAGGAGGCAGTTAGGGTAAGATATAAACAGCTATTGGAGGATAGATGGGCTAATGAGAGCATAGGCATTGGAGGTCGAAGAGGTATGGGGTAGGTTTAAAAATGTAGTGTTAGAGTGTTCAGCAGAAGTTTGTGGTTACAGGAAAGTGGGTGCGGGAGGGAAGAGGAGCGATTGTGGAATGATGTAAAGAGAATAGTAAGGGAGAAAAAGTTAGCATATGAGAAGTTTTTACAAAGTAGAAGTGATGCAAGGAGGGAAGAGTATATGGAGAAAAAGAGAAGGTTAAGAGAGTGGTGAAGCAATGTAAAAAGAGAGCAAATGAGAGAGTGGGTGAGATGTTATCAACAAATTTTGTTGAAAATAAGAAAAAGTTTTGGAGTGAGATTAACAAGTTAAGGAAGCCTAGAGAACAAATGGATTTGTCAGTTAAAAATAGGAGAGGAGAGTTATTAAATGGAGAGTTAGAGGTATTGGGAAAATGGAGGGAATATTTTGAGGAATTGTTAAATGTTGATGAAGATAGGGAAGCTGTGATTTCGTGTATAGGGCAAGGAGGAAAAACATCTTGTAGGAGTGAGGAGAGCCAGTTGTGAGTGTGGGGAAGTTCGATGAGGCAGTAGGTAAAATGAAAGGGGGTAAGGCTGCCGGGATTGATGGGATAAAGATAGAAATGTTAAAAGCAGGTGGGGATATAGTTTTGGTGGTTGGTGCAATTATTCAATAAATGTATGGAAGAGGGTAAGGTACCTAGGGATTGGCAGATGAGCATGCATAGTTCCTTTGTATAAAGGCAAAGGGGACAAAGAGAGTGCAAAAATTATAGGGGATAAGTCTGTTGAGTTATACCTGGTAAAGTGTATGGTAGAGTTATTATTGAAAGAATTAAGAGTAAGACGGAGAATAGAATAGCAGATGAACAGGAGGCTTTAGGAAAGGTAGGGGTGTGTGGACCAGGTGTTTACAGTGAAACATATAAGTGAACAGTATTTAGATAAGGCTAAAGAGGTTTTTGTGGCATTTATGGATTTGGAAAGGCGTATGACAGGTGGATAGGGGGGCAATGTGGCAGATGTTTGCAAGTGTATGGTGTAGGAGGTAGGTTATTGAAAGCAGTGAAGAGTTTTACGAGGATAGTGAGGCCTCAAGTTAGAGTATGTAGGAAAGAGGGAAATTTTTTCCAGTAAAAGTAGCCTTAGACAAGGATGTGTGATGTCACCGTGGTTGTTTAATATATTTATAGATGGGTGGTTGTAAGAGAAGTAAATGCGTGGGTCTTGGCAAGAGACGTGGAGTTAAAAGATAAAGAATCACACAAAGTGGGAGTTGTCACAGTTGCTCTTTGCTGATGACACTGTGCTCTTGGGAGATCTGAAGAGAAGTTGCAGAGGTTGGTGATGAATTTGGTAGGGTATGCAAAAGAAGAGAATTAAAAAGTGAATACAGGAAAGAGTAAGGTTATGAGGATAAAAAGATTAGGTGATGAAAGATTGGATATCAGATTGGAGGGAGAGAGTATGGAGGAGGTGAATGTATTCAGATATTGGGAGTGGACGTGTCAGCAGATGGGTCTATGAAGATGAGGTGAATCATAGAACTGATGAGGGGAAAAGGGTGAGCGGTGCACTTAGGAGTCTGTGGAGACAAAGAACTTTGTCCTTGGAGGCAAAGAGGGGAATGTATGAGAGTATAGTTTTACCAACGCTCTTATATGGGTGTGAAGCATGGGTGATGAATGTTGCAGCGAGGAGAAGGCTGGAGGCAGTGGAGATGTCATGTCTGAGAGCAATGTGTGGTGTGAATATAATGCAGAGAATTCATAGTTTGAAAGTTAGGAGGAGGTGTGGGATTACCAAAACTGTTGTAGAGAGGGCTGAGGAAGGGTTGTTGAGGTGGTTCGGACATGTAGAGAGAATGGAGCAAAACAGAATGACTTCAAGAGTGTATCAGTCTGTAGTGGAAGGAAGGCGGGATAGGGGTCGGCCTAGGAAAGGTTGGAGGGAGGGGGTAAAGGAGGTTTTGTGTGCGAGGGGCTTGGACTTCCAGCAGGCATGCGTGAGCGTGTTTGATAGGAGTGAATGGAGACTTGACGTGCTGTTGGAGTGTGAGCAAAGTAACATTTATGAAGGGATTCAGGGAAACCGGCAGGCTGGACTGGAGTCCTGGAGATGGGAAGTACAGTGCCTACACTCTGAAGGAGGGGTGTTAATTATGTTGCAGTTTAAAAACTGTAGTGTAAAGCACCCTTCTGGCAAGACAGTGATGGAGTGAATGATGGTGAAAGTTTTTCTTTTTCGGGCCACCCTGCCTTGGTGGGAATCGGCCAGTGTGTTTAATAATATATATATATATATATATATATATATATATATATATATATATATATAATATAATATATATTATATATATATAATTTGTGTTCTAATTCCAATTGTTTTCCTGTTTGTCCTACTCAGAATATGTGAAAACCACTACAGGTTACCTAATATACTACAAATGTATTGTATAGGTGGTATTTAACTCAAAGAAGGAGAGTTTTCGTTCGGTCAGGGAGGCTCAGGGTAGCGTATGTAAGAGGAAATTTTTTCCAGTTAAGGAGGCGCTTTGACAGGGAAGTGTGAAGTCACCAAGGTTGTTTTTCAGAAAGGGGGTTGTGAAAAAAAAGTGATTGCTAGGGTACTGAGAAGTGCGGGATTAAAAATACAATGAATCTGATACAAAGTGGGAGTTGTCAGAGATGCTGTTGTACCGATGAAACAATTTTTTTGGGGAGATTCAGAAGAGAAGTTTCAGAGGTTGGTAGATTAACTAGGGAGGTGTTTTAAAGGAAGGAAATTTAAAATGAACACAGAAATGAGCAAAATGATGAGAATAACAAAAAATCTAGGTAGTGAATGATTGGATATCTGACTGGAGTGAGGAGTATGGAGGAAGTAAATGTGTTGTTCACCTCGTCTATGAAATACGACCCTGAGCAACAGAAGAGCCCAGGAATAAGATGAGTGGTGTGTTCAGGCAAATGTGCGAATAAGTTTGTCAATGGAGGCAAAAAAATAAAAATGTACTAGGGTACTGTAGTACCAACACTGCTATGTATGTGTGAAGGATGGGCTATAAACGTAACAAGGAGGTGTCTGGGGACTGTGGAGATGTGTTTAAGGAAGATGTATGGTGTGAATATTATGAAGACGATTCTGAGCGTAGAGCTAAGAAGGTATGGGAGTTACCATAAAAATAATTCAGAGGGTTGAGGAGTGGTTGTTTTTAGTTAGGGCATTCAAAGAGAGCTGAGCAGAACTGGATGGCAAAAAGAGGGTGTATAAATCTGGGGTGGAAAAGAGGGACAGAGGCCGTCCCAGGAAGAGATAAAGGATAAAAATGAGATTTTTAGTACCATGGACTTGAATAACCAACAGGCTTAAATGAGCATTTGAAGTGAATGAAGACAAGTAGTTTTTATGATGAAGGGATTCAGGGAAACCGGTTAGCCAGAATTGAGTCTTGGAGATACAAAGTACAGTACTCTGAATAATGGGTAGGGATGGTAAGACCTAGAGGTGGGAAGTACAGTGCCCAGTGGCTGACCTATATTACTGGGGCCCTGAAGCTTGAACTTTTATGGGGTCCCTTAGCAACCAACAACAGCTAGCCTATATAATATTTTAATATCCTTTTAGATTTTATTTAAACTATTACTTTTTTTGTCGAATTATATGATAGTATTATTTTTTAAAAACCCTTCTCATATAGTAGACCCAAACTTTATAAACAATGTGGACTAAATTCGCTTCTGGAACCCCTCCAGGATTAGGGGTCCCTGAAGCTTATGCGCTATTAGTTTCATAGTAGATCCGCCCCTGACAGTGCCTGCATTCTGAAGGAGGGATGAAATTGTTACAGTCCCGGAAGCGGGAAATACAGTGCCTGTACCCTGATGGACGAGTGAAGATGTTATAGTTCTAGGTGGGAAGCACAGTTCATGAACTATGAAGGAGGGGTGAAGATTTTACAGTTCTGGCCGTAGAAAGTACAGTACCTGCACTCTGAATTATAGGTGAGGATGTTAGGGTCAAAAAGATAGGAAGTACAATGCCTGCACTGTGGAGGGGTGGGAATGTCAGTTATGGAGGTAGAAATTACAGTGCCTGCACTCTGGAGGGATGGGAATGTTACATTTATGGAGGTAGGAAGTACAGTGCTCTGAACTATGGGAGATGCTATGGTTTGGAAGATCATTTGACTTGTGATGTCAATATACTTCTTGTGAAGCAGCCTTTGAATAAATCGTGTATGTACTTCCTGTGTTGTAGGTTGGGAATATTTTTCAGTTTAAGAAACACATTATGTTATAGTTTATGAGGTGTACCTATAAGGTGTACTTATGAGAGATACCTTGAGCACGTGGGCCTTCAGAACAACGTGTAGGTTGGTGTTCTTGAGAGCTGCTGGTCTGAGATATCCATCTCCCGTAGACCAGCGGCGACCATTCCTCGCTGTGATGTCAATTATAGAGAAACCTACAAAAGGGTATTAATAATAAGTATTATTATTGTTATTATTATTATAACAAAACACATCTTTATATGGACTGGAAAGCCTCTCTCAAATGTGAATTTATACAGGTATATAAACTGCCTGGTTGGTTAATTGGGTTTCAAGGTTACCAATATCACGGCAGTAATAAAACAGCATGATACCTGTTCACCACAAGTTAAAACTAAAAAATACCTAAAAGTGATCAATATAAGCTATCCTTATTCGGAACAACTTCAAGACTTTATTCATATACATTAATGTATGTATAAAGTCGTTCGTATAACATTATATATTATATATATTTCTTTCAACACACCGGCCGTATCCCACCGAGGCGGGGTGGCCCAAAAGGAAAAACTAATTAGCAAGAACTCATTTAAAATTAAGTCCTTTCTGAAATTTTCTCTTATACGTTTAAAGATATATTTTTTTATTAATGTTAATGTAAAAATTTTTAATTTTGCACCAAAAGAATCTTAGAAAACTTACCTAACCTTATTACAACAAGAACAATTTATTTTAGCCTAAGTCATCTATATATATTTTAGATTTGTTTACAATAATTTAATACTAAACAAACACAGTGAAATATATTTTTTTCGTTAGGTTCAGAATGATCTTGGCGAAATTATTGCATACACAAATTTTCGCTTGTCCTATATGGCAAGATGAGCGTTGCTATTTAAGCCAAGATGGCAAGTTCTGCCTATTCGGCACGACATACATATATATATATATATTATTATTATCACACTGGCCGATTCCCACCAAGGCAGTGTGGCCCGAAAAAGAAAAACTTTCACCATCATTCACTCCATCACTGTCTTGCCAGAAGGGTGCTTTACACTTCAGTTTTTAAACTGCAACATTAACACCCCTCCTTCAGAGTGCAGGCACTGTACTTCCCATCTCCAGGACTCAAGTCCGGCCTGCCGGTTTCCCTGAACCCCTTCATAAATGTTACTTTGCTCACACTCCAACAGCACGTCAAGTATTAAAAACCATTTGTCTCCATTCACTCCTATCAAACACGCTCACGCATGCCTGCTGGAAGTCCCAGCCCCTCGCACACAAAACCTCCTTTACCCCCTCCCTCCAACCTTTCCTAGGCCGACCCCTACCCCTCCTTCCTTCCACTACAGACTGATACACTCTTGAAGTCATTCTGTTTCGCTCCATTCTCTTCACATGTCCGAACCACCTCAACAACCCTTCCTCAGCCCTCTGGACAACAGTTTTGGTAATCCCGCACCTCCTCCTAACTTCCAAACTACGAATTCTCTGCATTATATTCACACCACACATTGCTCTCAAACATGACATCTCCACTGCCTCCAGCCTTCTCCTCGCTGCAACATTCATCACCCATGCTTCACACCCATATAAGAGCGTTGGTAAAACTATACTCTCATACATTCCTCTCTTTGCCTCCAAGGACAAAGTTCTTCGTCTCCACAGACTCCTAAGTGCACCACTCACCCTTTTCACCCTCATCAATTCTATGATTCACTCATCTTTCATAGACCCATCCGCCGACACGTCCACTCCAAATATCTGAATACATTCACCTCCTCCATACTCTCTCCCTCCAATCTGATATCCAATCTTTCATCACCTAATCTTTTTATCCTCATAACCTTACTCTTTCCTGTATTCACTTTCAATTTTCTTTTTGCACACCTACCAAATTCATCCACCAATCTCTGCAATTCTCTTCAGAATCTCCCAAGAGCACAATGTCATCAGCAAAGAGCAACTGTGACAACTCCCACTTTGTGTGATTCTTTATCTTTTAACTCCACGCCTCTTGCCAAGACCCTCGCATTTACTTCTCTTACAAACCCCATCTATAAATAATTAAACAACCACGTAACATCACACATCCTTGTCTAAGGCCTACTTTTACTGGGAAATAATTTCCCTCTTTCCTACATACTCTAACTTGAAGCCTCACTATCCTCGTAAAAACTCTTCACTGCTTATATATATAATATATATATATAATATATATATATATTATATATATATATATATATATATAATATATATATATATATATATATATATATATATATACGCAAAACAACCACTGTGAAAGAGTAATGAAATTCCAAGCGCTTTCGTAAAATTTGCTATAAAGTTTATTACGGTCAAACTGGTAAAAGTCTCGAACTTAGATTAAAACAACATAAATATAGCATTAGAACTGGACAAGATTCCAATGCTCTATTTATTCTTGTGAGAGATTTTAACCATCCAATTGATTTCCAAAAAGTTGAGAAAGTTGTATCAAGCAAGTCCATGGTCGACAGGAATATAGTTGAATCTTGTTTCATAAAAAGCAGTTTTGAAAATATAAATATTTCCTTGGGTTTATATAAATTATTCATTTATAATTAATAAAACTTGGGAAGAATTTAATAATACATTGGAAAAATAAAAAATCTTAATTCTCGGGTAGAATATTTTGTTAGTGGGCTGTCGTGAGGACCTGTCTAATTGGGCCAGCGGACCTACTGCAGTGTTCCTTTTTTCTTACGAGTCGGGTATCGTCGCGCGTCGTCAGGTGTTTCTTTGTTGTGGGATGTGACTGTGAGGTGTGGTCTAGAACCTTTATATGCCTTCCTTTGATGTATTACTTTCATAGTTCCTTGATAATGTGAGAAGTCACGAATGCGCTTGGAATTTCCCTACTCTTTCACAGTGGTCCACCGCCTTCTCGACCTCACTCACGTCGATTACCTGGAACACTATGGGTTAAACGCAAAGGACTCATGTTCCTCACCACGACACAATACCCCAGATCAATGACTCGCCTAGAACTCATCCAACATCTCCAAGACAACACTGCAACGTACACCACCGACGAAAAAGCATTTCCCTGACAACCAGATAATCCACAACTCCAATACCAACGAATTTTCTACAGCTTTCCCATGTGACAACCTCTTAGTTGACCAATGTAAATCAGTCAAGCCTCTCCATCTACGCCTCCAGTACTTCGGGTACCACATGTCTCAAAGGTTTGGGCCATTGCCTTGATTCCTCCTCTACCCCCCTTTCCCCATTTTTCAGTTATTTCCATCCTTCCTTATCCTTCTTCCTTCCCATCTCACGACAGCTCTCGTCGTCGTCTTCGATTCGATTTACAGTGTTTGTTTTGCATATTTTGAAATCACCTGTTTACTGTGATCTTATGTATAATGTTTTATCCACCAAACACTGCCAAATCGGTAAGATACATCAGAAGATTTCCCAATGACCCAGCAACAGCAGGTGTTAGGCTTGCTAGAAGGACAGTTAATGAGAGACTATTGGATAGTGGACTGAAAGTATTTTGTCCCAGAAAGAAGCCGCGGCTTAATGAACCCATGATACTGAAACTTTTGGCCTGAGCTAAGAATTACAGTGAAAGCAGGAAAGACTTACAATGGAAGCAGGAAAGACTTACAATGGAAGCAGGAAAGACTTACAATGGAAGCAGGAAAGACTTACAATGGAAGCAGGAAAGACTTACAATGGAAGCAGGAAAGACTTACAATGGAAGCAGGCTACAATTACATTCAGGTATTCAGTTCATTTCTTGTTCATAAAAGAACATTAAATATTAGTAAAATGACAATTCTATTAAAATAAGATTGCCATTCAGCTTCTCTGGTTGTTCCACCACTTTTATTTTTTTTTTCTGTTATTGCAGGTTCCCCTCGAGGGAGGTGCCTTAACGCTGGTGAGGGGCTCTTGATCTAGGGAACTGGATCTGTGCTCCAGTTCCCTGAATTTAGCCTGAATGCCTTCCATCACCCCCCCCCTCCTACTGGCGCTATATAATGCCTTCGGGTTTATCGTTCCCTATAATAATAATATTGTTCAATGTGATGTTCTCTGATGAATAACCACTGGTGCTGGATGACAGCGTGCTGGCTGTAAGACAGCTGTCAGGTGAGAAATTTATGCCAGAATGTCTGAAGAAGACTGTCAAATTTCCTCAGAACATCATGGTGTGGGGAGCCATTTGTTGATGGTACCATGAACCAAGTTATGTACATGGAAGTGCTGCAACGCAAATTATTACCTCAGATATGGGATTGGTAAAGTGATGGACACTGGATATTCCAGCAAGACTCAGCCCCGAGTCACACAGCAAAATCAGTAAAGATGTGGTGTGCACAAAATGAGTTGAGCTGCTCCCATGGGCTGGAAACTGCCCGACATAAACCATATTGAGAGTTTATGGTCTGTATTGAAGGATTAAATACACGAAGTTCCCATTACGACCAAAGGGCAACTCATAGACCGCCTTTTTAAGGTTTGGTTTCATTTTGCCAGAATCAAGGAATTACGCAAAACTTAATCGTTGTCATGACTACACGTGTTAAAACATAATGGATGCTAGGGGTGATAATACCAAAAATTAATCAATATAAAATAGCTGACCTGTACCGGTGTACCAAAATAAATCCATTAGCAGTCAGTGAAATGGGTTTAATTGATCTTTTTTTCAGAAAGTACATCGAATTTTTAAAAAAAAATTCCATAACGTTCAATCTGAACATTTACACCCCAGATACTTGTACGGTTTCTTGATGAACAAAATATCACCACCAGTGTCATGAAACACTTGTTTCCTGACGATCAAACACCATCATCATTTATGCCAAGCGACACTTATCCTGTTTCCTGACGAACAAATTACCGCCATCACTTGTGTCGGGAAACACTTGTACTGTTTCCTGACGAGAAAACACCACCGCCACCACCATCTTCCATTTCATCTCCTGTCTTATCTACATGCTTTAAACATCAGGTTAATCTGACAATTACCGATCTGTTCTGGACCATTGGGGTCCACCTCGGGATATCCCAGCTGCTGCCCCGCCTTCACGAAGGCTTCAGCTACTGTAGAATTCCATTTCTTGTTCTCCACCGTCTGTGGTCCTCCAAAACCGTGGTATCCATCTGAAGAAATAGTAAAAAGAAGAAGAGGCATTTTAAGAAAAAACATTTATTACAGAGACTTTATAACCAGCGATAACCCAAGAAAGAATTAATGCAGTTAATTACTCTTGAGGCCCTTAGATTCTCTGATCCTAGATGATCACAAAAATGCACTAACACCCAGATATCAACTTACTGCTAGGTGAACACTGCAAGCGTGTTAAGGAGACTGACTGTATGTCCCGTTTGACCTGATGATTCAACCCAAATTCTTTCAGTTGTCAGTTGACCGCTCTATCACTAAACCAAAAATTACAGGTTATGACTGAGTACGGCTTGTGACTGCGCCACCACTCAATGCTCTGAACAGTGCAGTTATATAAACTGCCAAATAAAACAATACCAGACGCTTTTCAAAACACTATGAGAAAGCAGTTTATCTGTTTAAAAGATTTGTTTAAAAATCTGTGTGTGTGTAACTGTAAACCACCCACCTGATTCCTGGCTCACTCCTCCTCTAAAGTCTTCAGACTTCTTGAAATACTTGAGCACACTGTTGTAGCCCCAGCCTGGGTTACCCAGCTGCTCCCACTGGTCGTAGTCCCTCCTGTTACCACGGACGTAGACCATTGAATTTATGGACGAGGATCCACCAGCTCCGCGGCCCCGAGGGTAAGGTATTGACTGTAAATAAGCATTAATATAAGCATGTGGCATCCGTTTTCAACCTGACCTTGCTCCTGACAAAGATTTTATTCAGGAAAGACCTCAAGCTCTAATTTTAATGGCATACTCCTGGCGTCTGTTTGCGACTTTGCTACATGTATATTACAAAAATATTAGTTGGCCTTATACTAGTGTGGTAATATGCGAGTTCGGATACTGAATAAACACTAAAATAATTTATCTTTACTATTAGTTTATATAAAAACCAATCTTTGGTCTAGAGGTATTCTACAATAAATAATCTTTAATATAACAATATCTGATAAAAACTTACCTTTGGTACATATATATAAATTGCTACAATAATAAATTAGTAATTGGGGGCCTTGATTGATACCACCTGCAGTGCTCATATGGGACTGACATCCACACGAGCCCACTTTGGGGCGGGGCAGGGAGATGCAGACCAGAGGACTAGCTTCTCCCTACGAGCCCGAGAGGGAGGGGTTGTGGCTAGGACATGGGGACATGTTGGGTCCCCAAAGATGAGGCGGTACTTGTACGACTCCATGGGAGAATTACGTCTCGAGACACATCCCAGATAGGGAGTCACAAGGGCCGGGTCGTCCACTACGTGGAAAAGCCCGGGCAGGTGAGAATACGGCGCTCGAATAAAAAAAATTATAATTAACATCTTTGTTCAGATTATATTATATATACTATTATATATATTTTATATATATATTTATTTATATATATATTATATATATATTATATATATTGGGGTCCACCTCTGGTGGTAAAATTGTGGGTCCAATAGCCTTCGAGATGAAGTGGGATAAAAAGGACTTCAAGGAAGAATATTTGGATTTCTTCTGAAAGCCATTTGAATATTCCACTTCCCCTACCACCCCATCTTTTAAAAAGATATTTTTTTTTTACCAATAGGAATATTTTTATTACATAATATGGCACTGAAGATTGAAAGAGATACATTGTTGAAATAAAGGTGGCATATACGGGTACATGTTGTTTCGTGTGTATCACACGATTATAAGGCAAATATCTCATCCAGCTACTCTGTGTGGGGTGAGCGTGTTACGTGCCCAAAAATGCAGCATGGGCGTTACCCCTTTGACTGCCCCAATGGAGCCGCTGGGACAGAAAAAAGAAAACTAGCTGCCCTCGGAGGATCCCTTGTTACCCTCTGATGTGTCTTTTTACCTGCTCCTTCAGAAAATTAAATTGACATACTTTCCCCATGAGCCAAGGGTCTCTGAGCCTATGGGAATCAAAAATATAATGATTGGCTAAGTTTCAATATTTCTAGACTTTGGACTCCCTAAAGATGGCAGCTGCCCTCCTTCCTCCATGGTTGTATGGAGAGAGTTATCCTGACAAGGTAGATGCCAACATGTATAGTCCCACCCACCTGCTTCCACATCTGTCCTGGTTTGAAGGGTGATACCATCTGGGACGGCTTCTGGATGCCGGTCAGACTGCGCATAGTGGGGTGCCTCCCTTACTGCTGGGCATCAGATGTTGTGAGGCTCCTCTTGTTAATGTTATTACCTCTCATGTTCTTGCAATCTTTCCTCGGATTTTTACGGCACACCAAGACCTGGTACCCGAATCGGTCTGCTGCTTCACTGCCACAAATAACTGTGTTCGGCGTGATTTGGGGCGGCAAGTGAAGGGCAACACGATTTGCGGATGGTCTGTGGGTCGAGGCGTGTTGCCATGGCTGGAGTTGGGAACTGCCACAGAATGTCCCAGCTTGAGGGGCTCTCACTGCCAGGCAGGAGCGGCTCTATCCTTCCCTGGACACTCTCTGAAGCATCGTTGAGGCTATATTTTCCTCTATTGGACCATCAGTGCGATTGTTTGTTGTTGTTGGGGGAGCAGGTCTGGTTTCTGAGCCCGTTAGATTATCCCGTTCATTGCTCCGTCAATGAATTTTTGGTCCGGGGCTCCAATCTTGTCCCTTAAGATGTCGGGAGGAATCGCGGCCTACAAGATCTCTGGATGCTATACAACGAGGACAGAAAAGCAGGCTAACGCAATCTGTGATGATTGCGGACACCAATGTCCCTCCTAGTCTGACTGGAAGTGTTGCTTGGTGCCAACTGCCCGTCTTCTAGAGTAAGGTATGTACTTTCGTAAAAATATGCCTCAGAATACTGTCATATTCGTGCGTATAGGGTATTAGGAAGGTGGCACATCTTAGAAATATGTAAACATGGGCAGGACTCAAGCTCTTTGTGAGAAGCGTACAAGCATCGTGGGTGTCCAGATTGCCTATTCGTTGTTCATTTCTCCGTAACTCTTCCAATTTCTTCCTGAGAATTGTGTCAATGGCATTTGCTTCCCAGAGGTGCTCTAAGCAAGACACTATTTTTGGGGGCAATGACTGTTGCTCCTGGTAGTTTTGATCTCTCTGCATTTAGTGACTTGTTGACTGACTTGTTGATTTCACATTTGGATGGATTCAGGATGAGACCCATTTCTGTTCCCCGTGTCATTAACTGTGTAAGGTCTTGTAGGCAGGGAATCCTTTGTACCTGCTAGTGTGCCATCATCTAGGAACCAGATGTTTAGCTCGTGGTCAGTCTGGACTGTGTTTTCCCTAACTGCAATTACAGAAAGAGAAATGGTGAAGGAGGATCTCCTTGTTGGACACCCGCGATGATGTGATTTCATGATCTCCAAAGTGAAGCTTTGATTACTTGCTTTACCCAGCTGAAACAAAAGGGAAGAGACAGGGAAATGTTCTTGTTATGCTGCTAATACCACGTCTCTTTCAGGGAGATTGAACGCTTTCTGAATCTAATTTTTACCACTGCATGTCCTCTGGCAGGTTGTGTTTATGCCCTTGTTGCATGAACAGCTGCTTCACTTTCTTGAGAGACCCCAAAGCCAAGTGGTTTTTGGTTGAAGGCATCATGGCATGCCTGTTGCACCGAATACTTCGGACCAGCAGCTTTGGATACGAGGCGTAAGTCGTTGCCTATGCAATTGGCCGATTTCCTCAATCCTTCTGTTTTACATGTGCACAAAAGGTGTTGCACCAAAAAGAAAGTCTAATGTCATCAGGATCAGACCAGCCAAGGTATTGTTGACGAACCTTGTGATCTCTGAATGCAGTGTCTCTGCAATTTCCCCAATAACTGGATTAACCATTTCCTTTAAATGCTGTGGCTTATTCCTGTGTACCCCCCAGACAGTGCCAGATGGGAAACCGACATTATTGCTTTGTAATTGTCTGAGTCTTCCACAATCAAGGTTCCATAGTGGGGACAGAGGTGTTGATCTGTTGTGGCCATGGGTTTTCCCTGGAAGCGGGGCTTTACGCTAAGTGATTCAGCTGTGTCAGCATACCTAGGTCGCAACTGTATCTTCACTGGTAATAATATTCTGCATTGCCCCCCACTGTGTTGCCCTCTTCAATTTTCTTGCTCACCTGGACTCTGACTTTTTCACTGTCAGTAGTGTGAGTGGGGTTCTGCCTCTCCCTTTTTTGTTGTTGTCGGGGAAGGTGAATGAGGTTAGCAACTCTAGGAAAATCTCGTATGGATTTAATTATCATTGAGGCTAGTCTCTTTCCCCTTCTTTCGGCACAGCTAAGCAGGACATTGCCATTAAAGTAGCAAGTTGTGCCATGCCTTGATGGTTGGTGGAGCATTTAAGATAGTGGAACCATCGTTTTATTTTTTCAGGAGGTCTTGAAAGTTTTCCCAGCGTGTTGAGGGATGCTTTGGGATATGTGCGAGTGTCCTCGTACCTGTTGCTTTATTTGCTTCCTAGAGATTGTCTGTTGAGATAAATCTGTTGGGTGGGGTTCAGGTGGCTGTGGTGGCTCTGGATCATCTACTTTCACTGGAGGGACATCATGAACCAGGGCAAACTTCCGTTCGTTTGCGAGGAACCATTAGAGTTGAGACAACGATGCAGCTGGTCAAGCATGGACCGACACTTGCCTTCTCTAGTATTGCCTGCCGTGCCATTTTCATGGCCTGATTGCTTCATAGGTTCGGCATTCCATTCTGCTTAGATAGACATATAGGAGGAGGATATGACATGCTGGGTGGTTATGGGTGGTGGAAGGTTGTGAACTGGACCGTGGTGGCCTGGGGGGAGTTTGAGGGGGCCGGGAGGGGAAGAGAAAAACTTCCCTTGGGATTTAGGTGGGGGAGGCGCAGGTTTGAGTGGGGTTAGGGTTATCCCGGGGAAGTTACATAATAAACATGGACTTGCACACTATATATTGTTCACCACTGTCTTACAAATATCACATCAACTTGTTTCCCATGTACTCTATGTACAATTGTGGGTTGGGCACTGTTGATCCATGTGTTCATCACCATCATAGTTAAACTACCACCTCTTCCACCCACCCCCGTGACGTGGGGGTGGATTGCACTGATGGTCACTCCATCGTTAACATTAATTTCCTATTGTTTTTCCATATCATAAGCCTTTAAAAGTCCATGCAACGACACAATAATTTCCACGTTAACTTGGAAGCATGTGCTTGGTGCTGGGATATAGATGTTTTTTAGAGCTTTTCGTGGTTTGTATTGTCGATAATCTTGGGCCGGTACTCAAGATACAGGGTTGGATTGTACTCACCCACACCTCCAATGGCGTCTTCCTCAACTACCACAACCACTCACCAACATTCTCATCCTGCACAACACTTCCACAAGTACCTTGAAACGGTGCTTTGAAAATCGTCTTCTCGCTTCACTGGAATCTTCCCGGTATTCACAATAAGTCCTGTTTTGGTCATTAACTGGTCACTGTTGTCCGGACTTATAATGAAAAATCCCACAGTCTAGCCCGCACACGTCTTGCCTGCCAGCGCATGGCATATTTAGATTTATATATTATTATTATCCTTAAAAATAAATTGTAATCAAATCTTCATGATCCTACCACACACAGGGCTACATCGTTCCTGACACTTTACTGTGTCACACTCAGTCGTACAACACTAGTTCAAGAGTAATACTA